TTCTAGTTTGTTGAGATAGTGAATTGGTGGGTTTTTGTTAAATGTGAGCCAAAATCATCACAATTAAAAGAACCAAAGACTTCAACTACTTCAGTCTGTGTGCATTGAATTTATTTAATACACGAGTTTCACAATTTGAGTTGAATTACTGAAATAAATGAACTTTTCCACATCATTCTAATTTATTGAGATGCACCTGTACATTTCAGACACAATATTACCTGTTTTGCCCAATTTTGCCAACGGAAATTGTTCCAAACAAAGATCACAGTGCTGTTTTGTGTCTCTGAACAAGACACAGGACGGTGTTACCTTATTGAATGAATCAGCTTTTTGAACGAATTGGTTGAATGAATGATTCAGTGACTCATTCATTACCACAGTCAAATGCTTCGTTCCTGAATGAATCAGCCGTTTGAATGAATCATCTGAATCTCAATCACTCACTCGTTTACAGTGACTTGCTGCCTCCTACTGGTGGTTTTAATTTCACATTTCAACTATTTTTTCATGTTTTAAATCATTTCAAATATTATTATTTAACGTTTTATGTTTAAAACAAAGCATTATTTATGCATTTGTAACTGCAGGTTAAAAGCATCAATGTCCCCGCTACATTAAACTGTGTAAATACATCTAAATGCCACTTCAGATGCAGATCCCAGAAAGGTTTTCTTGTGTTGGAATGAAAGAGTCTTCGTACCAGATGAAGTGACTCTTATTCTATATTATATTATAAAAGATCACTCTAAATTGTAATGTAGACACCTGCATTGTCTGTGAAACAATGTCTTTGTGAAAAGCGCTATACAAATAAATTTGAATTGAATTGAATTATGCTAAACCAAAGATACAAAATGGAAGAAAGAGTTAAAAATGAATACAATCTTGCTGCTCAAACTGTGTATAAACATTTTTTTAATATTTATTTACTCCTTTTCCATTTTGCATTTACTTGTACTTTTACTTACAATAATTATGTTTAATATAAAAAATACCTTTCATACTTAAGTACAATAAATATCACATACTTTAAAACTTTTACTCAAGTAATATTCTAAACGTTGACTTCAACTTCTACCAAAGTCATTTTCTGGTAAGATATCTGTACTTTTACTTGAGTGTGGCTTTTAGGTACTTCATCCACCACTGTATATTTCTTTCATCAGAAAGAGCTGTGAACTGAATCCATGAAGTCTTTTGTTGGCAGGTGACTGAGTGATTGAGTTGACCAATGAATTCAGCGGTGAAAAAAATACAAAACCAAAACATTATACAGTATATAATGTATAATATATAATTGGTCTGAACAAAACCAGCAGACAGACTGAATGAAAACGCTAATTTATGCTAATCCAATGTAAAAAACAACGAGTGCAGGAATGGTTTTTTTAGCATTTAATAGTACTTCTAATCATGAAATTCAACCTGAGGGGTAAAAGATTAAAAACACACATCAACAGGTGATTATTACATAAAGTGTTGATCCTGTAGTTTGACTCAGTCTGTTGACACACAATGAAATGAGCTTAATGTGCCAATTTACAGAAGATCTCAGACATCATCATAATGAATGAGCTGAAAACAGGGAACTATTGGCTTTTTAGCAGCTCATTTAAACATGACGGCTGTGTTTCTGTCAGACTATTAATTCACTAATTGTCAGTTACACTGTTTTGTCTTTGTTGTTTTGCACTATTCTCGTTGTAATTGCTTTGACAATATGAATGTACAAATATTTGTCATGCCAATAAAGCACCTGGAAACTAACTAACTGGATGAATAGATACACTTTGCTCATAATGACGACTTCAGACAAATCTTTTTCATATGATTCTCTACAGAGTTTGAATGTTTAAAACTCTCTCCACACCAAGTACAGTGATACGGCTTCTCTCCAGAATGAACTCGCTCATGTTTTTTTAGGTTTCCAGACTGATTGAAACTCTTGCCACAATATGAGCACTTGTAAGGTTTTTCTCCAGTATGAATCCTTTGGTGCTGTTTCAGATAGACAGCTGTAGTAAAGCTCTTATCACACTCACAACACACATGATCTCTCACTTCATCATGTGTTTTCTGGTGCTGTTTATAACTGGCCAGCCGTGAAAAACTCTTTCCACAGTACGAACACACATGAGGCTTCTCATCTGAATGAACTGTCAGGTGTTTTTTTAGATTTGATGATGAAATAAACTTTTTACCACACTGATCACAGTTAAAAGGCTTTTCTCCAGAGTGAACGTGCAGATGATAACTGAGACCTGATGCTGCAGCAAAACTCTTTCCACACTGAGGGCATGTGTATGGTTTCTCTCCAGTGTGGATTCTCATGTGCTTCTTAAGGACTCCTTTTTGTCTGAATCTCTTTCCACACTGAGGACATGTGTACGGTTTCTCTCCAGTGTGGATCCTCATGTGCTGTTTAAGGATTCCTTTTAGTCTGAAACTCTTTCCACACTGTGAGCAGGTGTGAAGCTGTTTGGCTTTTTTTCTTGAAGTTTTGACTTTACAACGTTCCTCCTCCACTTCATTCACCTCATGTCTTTGCTGTTTTACTTCCATCCAGTCTAAAATAAACAAATTATGTGGTTAGAATCAGTTAAAGTGAACCTGATTTTATAACAGAAACCAAAGGAGGTCACATATTTATCTGTGATCAGCAGTCAACAATGAAGAATCAAGAATGGACACCAACCTGTTTGTTCCTCAGTATCTTCATGTTTTATTCTGGATGGTCCTGAAACACTCATGTCGTCAATCTCCTCTTTAACAAACTCCATCTTTACCATAGTATGTGTCAGATTTCAGCTGCTGCACCTGGAGTCTGCACCAGTCCTGTAGGATGATGTGAATATTCCTCACCTTTTTAACACAGTTAAAGCACAAACTCCGCCCACCACAGATTCTGAAGATTTCATTGGTCGTGTCAATCACGGTGACCGCCTACACAACACTGAAACAAATCCAGTACAAACCCGTGACCTTAGTATAGTTTTATTTTTTGTGTCAAATCAACCAAATTTCAGAAACTTCCCCATCTCAAATTTTTGGTTTTGTTCATATTTTTAATGAAGAAAGCCAAACATAAATAGTGATGAAAGACTAAATATTTAATGTCATGGATATTTACTGAGAAATCCATTATTTTGTAGAGGAGAGTCAAAATGACAATTTTCATGTGGGATATGGGGCCAAATTACAGGGTGAAAAAATGACTTTAGAAAGATGGCAGTATCAATGTTTTATTTTTACATGATGATTGGTAATTCTATTAGTACAATCTGTTGACTTCAGCAATACTTGTTGCATTGTGACAGTTCAAGAATGTGAATAGCACTTTTTATGTTTTTATTTTTCTCTGAAGTTTGCACTCCTGTATCTCAATAAGTATTAAAGATATCTCAATAAACTTTTAGGTGGTTAATGGTTCTTCTTAATGGTCTTCTTAACAAACATTTCTTTCAATATTCTCATTTTTAAGGCCATATATGTTTCAATTCCAGAGTAATGGATATGTGCAATTGTTCAATTTTCAGTGTTGAGATTCTGGTTCTTCACAAATTTTCCTTGATTCCTCATTTTTAAAGCCCTACATATTTCAATCCCAGCAATATGGGGATCGCAATGTGTCTATATGAATAAATTGTTGAATTTTACTCATTTTCATACAGCTGCTACTTATTTACAGAGGAATGTCCGAGGAACAAATAATCTTGAAACTAGAAATGCATCTTCTTTTTTCTATCAAACCAAACCATATAGGACCTTAAAAATGAAGATATCAAAAGAAAAGTTTAAGAACCAGTTTATAAAAGGATACTGAGATATCTTTAATATTTCTTGAGTTACAGGCCTGCAAACTTCAGGAAAAAATACAACAGTTGCTTTTTTCCCAGTTTTTGAACATCACCACTGGAATATAATGCAGCAAGCATTGCTAAACTCAGCTGATTTTAATTGACCTTATCTGTGTAAAAATAAAATAATGATGCTGCCGTCTTTATAAAGTTATTTTTTACCCTTTAATTTAGCTTCTCTCTAAAATATTGATTACTCAATACATATTCATCCATGACATTTAATATTTTGGCATTCGTCTTCATTTATGTATTTCTTTCATCAGAAAGAGCTGTGAACTGAATCCATGAAGTCTTTTGTTGGCAGGTGACTGAGTGATTGAGTTGACCAATGAAATCAGCGGTGAAAAAAAAATACAAAACCAAAACGTTATATAGAATGTATAATATATAATTGGTCTGAACCAGACGATTTGTGCTACCCTGTCAGATTTTGCTATACCTCCCAATGAAACAGTAGGTAGCACAATGCGACAACGAAAAATGCTACCCATCAGATTATGCTTTATTAACGCCTACACCTACTTCAACCCTAAACCTACCCTTACAGTAATGAAAATACAGTTATTATGTGTTGTTTAGCATGTGAAAATTAATGCAATATTGATGTGCACATGCGTAGTATAGCCCTGTTAAGACAATCTGACGGGTATGATGAAATGTCAGGACACCGGCAGACAGACTGAATGAAAATGCTAATTGTTGATCCTGTAGTTTATCTCAGTCTGTTAACACACAATGAAATGAGCTTAATGTGCCAATTTACAGAAGATCTCAGACATCATCATAATGAATGAGCTGAAAACAGGGAACTATTGGCTTTTTAGCAGCTCAGTTAAACATGACGGCCGTGTTGCTTCTGTCAGACTATTAATTCACTAATTGTCAGTTACACTGTTTTGTCTTTGTTGTTTTGCACTATTCTCATTGTAATTGCTTTGACAATATGAATGTACAAATATGTGTCATGCCAATAGAGCACCTGGAAACTAACTAACTGGATGAATAGATACACTTTGCTCATAATGATAACTTTGGACAATTATTTTTCATATGATTCTCTACAGAGTTTGAATGTTTAAAACTCTTTCCACACTGAGTACAGTGGTACGGTTTCTCTCCAGTATGAACTCGCTCATGTACTTTCATGAGTGCAGACTGAATTAAACTCTTGTCACAATATGAGCACTTGAATTATTTGGTTCCTCCTCCACTTCATTCACCTCATGTCTTTGCTGTTTTACTTCCATCCAGTCTAAAATAAATAAATAATGTGGTTAAAATCAGTTCAAGTGAACCTGATTAAATAGCAGAAACCAAACCAAAAGCAGGTCACATATTTATCTGTGAGTATCAAGTATCAGATCTTTGATGTGCTAGAGGTTAGTTCTGTCATTCTTTATTAATACAATTAAAATGTGGATATGTAGTTAAGATGATCATTAAGGTGATCATTTATCATGCTCATTATTTCACAGCCACTAAATCTTTTTAATTGAAACTTCAATGTTTCTAAGCAGTCCATACTGAAGAATCAAGAATGGACACAAACTTGTTTGCTTCTCAGTATCTCCTTGTTTTATTCTGGATGGTTCTGAAACACTCATGTCGTCAATCTCCTCTTCAACAAACTCCATCTTTAACAGTCACACAGATTTCAGCTGCTGCACCTGGAGTTTGTCCTTCTCTTGTAGGATGATGTGAATATTCCCAGTATGAATTGTTCTCAGGTGAATTGTTGTAGGAGGGGCTTCACTGCAGGTGTGAACTGTGATCAATACTGAGAGCCAAAGGACCAGATCTGAAGAAATCCAAAATAAGTTACTGCATTTACTTTCTTAAAAGTTACGTGAACATATTTGCTGTTAGGAAATACAGAGTGTTTCTGGTAAGAAAAAAACGAGCAATTAAAAACACATAATAGCTGCTTCACTTTTAGCTTTAGCTGGTGTCTCTCGCTCTTCTCTCTTCTGTGTACACTCTTAAAAATAAAGGTGCTTCAAAAGGTTCTTCAAGCGATGCCATAGAAGAACCATTTTTGGTTCCACAAAGAACCATTCTGTCAAAGGTTCTATAAAGAACCATCTCTACCTTTTTATAATCTGAAGAACCTTATTTCGCCACAAAGAAGCTTTTGTGAAACAGAAAGGTTCTTCAGATGTTAAAGGTTCTTTATGGAACCATTTAGACAAAAAGGTTCTTCTATGGCATCCTGAAGCACCTTTATTTTTAAGAGTGATATCCTCAGTGCACACAGTGACATGCTTCTCAAAGCATTCTTCTCCACAGATCTCTGGCTGCACATCATAGTTTCGACTTTCTAGTCACCTTCATTTGATTACAGTTACAGTATTGTTTTTTTTTCTGCTGCACGTCTCCCTTGCATAGGCTATTTCCAACCTAATTAAGGTATTTTTTTAATAGTTTACATACGTAGCTATATACATACAGTATTCCAACACAGTTTATGATTAGACAGTATGTCTGATGGGCTAAATATGGTTAATATTTGAATTTAACTTTATATATAAATTTACAACAAGATATATATCACTCTTGCTCCGGGTGTGTGTTCACTGCTGTGTGTGTGCACTTTGGATGGGTTAAATGCAGAGCACTAATTCCTAGTATGGGTCACCATACTTGGCCACATGTCACTTCACTTCACTTCAATCTCCTGTATATGTGAAAACCTACAGGGAATATAATTAGGCTACATTAGATCATGTATCATTACATTGGCCATTTGATCCAAATAAGTGCATTATTAATTTATTTTTAAATTCACTAATGTGTGTAATGTTAATAAACGTGAGATATTAATTTTTCAAAAGCACAAATTCAATTGCAAACCTGTTGAAATGAATGTGATTGTGTGTCTTTGTCGCTGCGTGTCGCTGCTGAACGCAGTACGCTTTTTTTGCCAGCCTTGCAGGCTTGCTTTGGTTCTGTCATGTGATGGTTCCTGCGTTTGCAGCGAAGCTCTTAACAGCAAACAAACAAACTAACCGCTTCTAAGACGAAAAACTCACACAGAAGAGAGACTGAAGCTGCTGGACTGCTGTCATGGGGTGCTGTTTCAGTGCCGGGAGCAACCGGGTAGAGAAGGTTTATTCAATATACACGCAAACAGCTATAAAATACAACATAATGTGGCGTTTGTATCCGTGCAACAAGAATTACATACAACACACATTTAATGTTGGTGTGTGTTATTAAAGAACAGACTACAACAATACTACAACAATGTCTAATATCTTTAAATGAGCCTACTTTTCTTATCAGAATTGTTTACTTCTGGTGCCATGATGAGTAGACATGTAAACTGTCACAAACTGAAAGTAAGTGTTGGGAACTTAGGCTCGTGTCTGTGTCTAGATGTGTCAGACCCCTAGATCTGACAAGTGGTGTTTCAAAACTACAACAAACTTACTCTAATGCCTAATTTCTCCTAATATTTCACTTAGGTATTTTTATTATGTATATTTATTATTATTATTTTGTATAACGATTAAAAATCCTTATACATGAATCACTAACAGTTGAAAAAAGTAACGGACAGTGTTACTTTTGAAAGTAATGCATTACAATATTGCGTTACTCCCTAAAAAAAGTAACTAATCGTGTTAGTTACATTTTATAGATTGTAACGCGTTTTCCTATATCTGGGCTGGGCTTGCTTGTTTGTTTTTAATATACAACGTATAACTTTTGGCAAATGTAAAAGCCCTTTCACACCAAAAGTGAAATGAATAATCCTCAGGCTGAAGGAAATGTAAATTCACGTCTGTACAGTAGAGGGCGCAGCTCTAACAAACCTTCAGCTGTGCTGCTGCTATTCTGGATTGCATGAAGAATAAGATGCAGGAGAAGAAAGTAGTGCTGCGCGGTATGACCAAAAATTTATATCACGGTATTTTTCGAAATTATACCGGTTTCACGGTACATGACGGTATTTTTTTTTTTTCATGCATGACCGGGTGTTAACCATATTTTCTACTGATTGAGAGAGGAAATACTGCAGTATATTGACTTAGAATGCCCTATTTTACTGTCATGATGAGTGAATATTGTCAAAAAATACCACACTAAATAGTGACTAAACACGACCCCTTTTAATACATGTTAACCAGGAGTCACTCTCATTTATAATCGCGGCATCGTCTGATAAAATCAACATGCATCTACACTAAAGAGCGGCTATGCGGTTGTTTTGGCTATATTACTTTTTTGTCTCATGCAGCGCACTGCCTGCGTCTGAGTAACAAACTAAAAAAAACAACAAACAAAAAAGTGCATGTGATATTAACAGACGAACTATGCTCATATTTATAATTCCAAACAATCAGTAAGCGACAGGTGCTAGGAAATGCTGTTTTGTACTCATTTATTGAGGAGTCGGCTGCGGTGCTTCTCTGCCGCTCACTGCACAGAACAGACGCCGAGAGCGGTGACACTTCTCCGGGAAAGTCAGACCTCGCGTTCGCGGGACAGCACTGGAGAAATCTTCCAACTGAACCATAGCTAAGGTTTATCCAAAAAAGTCGCTAAGTTTGTCAGTATATATATTCTATGGAAAAAAAGCAGCTAAAAGGGTCTGAAAGTTGCAAAATCTAGTGCTAAAGTCGCACTCGTGTGTGTGTGTGTGTGTGTGTGTGTGAGACGCGGGAGCTGATGGCAGGGGGCGGTGGATATTTGTGGCGGTCAATGTGGATATTGTGGATGAGTTCTTCTGTGTCATCACGTTCTATTAGTTCTACAGCTTCAGTTTCGGAACTTTCACGCTTAGTAACACATACAGCTGTTCCCTCACCACAGTGCAACAGTGAAAAAGGACCCCTTTCAAACAGTGTCGCGTTCCGAACGTTGTTTAAGCGACATACACCAGTATTGCGGTATTTTAAAAATTCATATCATAACAAAAATAAACACCGGTATTCGGTATGAACCGGTATACCGCCCAGCACTAGAAGAAAGTTCAACACTCTTCAGCAATAAAACAAATTAACATTAAAATGATCATTTTTGCTGGTTGAACTGGATAATCGAAGGTCAGCAGCAAAGACACTGGTTAATAAAATGGGATTAAATACATAAAGGATGTTTGTGTTATTTAACATAGTTAATTATTGCAGGTTTGCACCATAGACTGTAAAAAAGACACACACAACACCTCTGCACTCCCGATTTTTCTCAACATAGGAACAGGAGAGCTGGCAGTCAATAAACGGGAAAACAAAGTAACTGACGTTACTTATTTGAAAAAGTAACTCCGATATTTCCTTGTAAATGAAAAGTAACTAGTTCTAGTAAAGTAATCTGATTACGTAACTCACATTACGTGTAATGTGTTACCCCCCAACACTGGTAATGGAAATGTATTTTTTGTATAAATCACTTTTGGGCAGGTTCATGTTTGGTTATATGATGTAGTTTAATAAGTAGTTGATGTTTGGGCTTACGATGTAAGAAGTCATTTAGCCAATGTTGTTAACCAGAGCAACTTGCAGTATATAATAACAGGTTTAGTTCACCGGGAGCAACCTGAGATTACATTTCAAATGAAATCAAATTGACTTCTTTTGCACGTTACTTCAGAAACTTGTGAACTCTGACACATCTTTATTTTGTCATACTGGTTAGACAAATAGCTATTTGGTCATTGTTTTAGGCTACTATTGCCTTCTCAAAAGAGTGAACCGATGGTTTTTCAGGAGGTGTGATGATCATGCTTTTGAACAGCCTCCTTTTGGCTCTTTTGTGCAGGACGACCCAAAGAAGCCATTGATTCCTGACCCAAACTTAAACAAAATACCCACCAATGGCTCGGATCGAAACGCGGACAGCCTGCCGTCCAACCGCACGGATGAACAGGCCCTGCTCATCATTGTGCACATGCGCTTGGCTGTTATTAAATGACCAGCTCACAATACATTAGACTGCTTTTGACATGCCAAAGTATATATGTATGAAGAATATGTTCAAAAGCGTGCATTTATTACAATAAAGACAGTAATATTGTGAAATATTTTTACAATTTAAAATAAGTGTTTTCTATTTTTAATATATTTAAAAATGTAATTTATTTCTGTGATCAAAGCTGAATTTTCAGCATCATTACTCCAGTCTTCAGTGTCACATGATCTTCAGAAATCATTCTAATATTCTGATTTGCTGCTCAAGAAATATTTCTGATTATTATCAATGTTGAAAACAGTTGTTGGGTAAACCATAATTGTTTTCAGGATTCTTTGATGAATAGAAAGTTCAAAGGAACAGCGTTTATTTGAAATAGAAGTCTTTTCCTTCAGTAACTGGATATCATAAAGTCACATTTTGTACATTTAATGTATCCTCGCTGATTAAAAGTATTAATTTCTTTCAAAAAAAGTAACAAAACATTTACTGTCCCCAACCTTTTGAACAGTAGTGTATATAAATAATAAAAACAAATTTTTAACAAATTATGCATTTGTTATCTGCTGATTTCTTGGTCTGTCACTAGAAATAATAGACATTATTCAGAGTTTTTGTTTGATTTATTGCTTTTCTTTCCTCCTCAGGTGTCTAAGATCGCTGCGTATGCCTACAGCGCCATCTCACAAATCAAAGTAGATGCCAAGGAAGAGCTGGTGGTGCAGTTTGCTATACCATGATTTTTTTTTTTCTCAGAAAGATGTTTCGTCAGCTGAACAATCGCTGTATTGTTAAACAACAGTACAATCCACTAAACGCACTGTACTTCAGTCCCTCACAGCCTTGTTTTCAGCGTGGCCTGTCTTATGAATAATCATACTATTAAATCTGAGTGTTTTGGACGGGGAGGTGGGTTTGAGTTGTTGCGGTGGAAATTTGTAAATTGTAAATGATGTTCTTGTGTCAATGCCTTTAATGTACAGAGTGTAAAATGATTCGAGATGAATGATTACCTGACGTTCTTTCCTGACAGAGTTTGAAATGCCACACAGTATGTTTGTGTAATTATTTATTTAGATTTTATATATTGATGCAAGCTCACAGACAGTGTGGCACAATTCGCTCTCTAGATCATGGCAAGGCACTTTTGTCTTTCTTTGAGATTTTTAAAGGGATAAAATGTGTTGTTTTCTGTTGCAGTTTATTATTAGTGCTCAAGTTTGTTTATTTGTTACCTAAATGTGGAATTCTAATGATTTACAGAGATAACTCTTCTTAGGCTAGTACCAAAAATGTAATCTTAATAATCTGTTAATACTGTTTTTTGTTTAACAAAATTACGCATTAAAGACATTCAAAATTATAAAATGTTGTTTTTATTTTATTTTACTGAATGTGTGTAGTATACATTTATTGGTGGTAAGGACAATGAGAATATTTTGTTCATCCACTTGAATATACTGTACAGTCATAAGTTCAAATTTGGTCCCTTATCGTGTTAAAAATCCAATACTCGCATCTCACCAACACAAGATGACAAACTGATGACAGGTCCTCCTCACTCAGCCCTGATTGGTTAAACTGAACCAATGATGTTAAGGAAAAAATGCATTGCATTGACTGCACCTTATTTTTCTGTGATAGTTCTATACTTTATTAATTACGCAAAGAGCTTGGTAAATTACTTACAAATTTTAGGCCGTTACTGATTACAGATTGCATGATGAAAACTGTTGTCAGTAACGTAATCTAGGTTACTCATTTTAGGCAGAGCTGGGTAGATTACTTTGTAATCCGTTACTGATTCCAAATTACAAGACAAAAATTGTGGTACCTTACTACCTTTCTGGGCCATAAAACGTTTCAGTTGCATTGCTGTCGTGTTAAGAAGACGAACAAACGTTTTACAGGTTTGGAACGACACGAGGGTGAGTAATTAATGACCGAATTTTCATTTTTGGGTGAACTATCCCTTTAAGTAATCCAGATTACATGTATTCAGTTACTACCCAGCTCTGATTATCAGTGTTGGGGGTACCGCATTACAAGTAACGTGAGTTACGTAATCAGATTACTTTTTTCCAAGTAACTAGTAAAGTAATGCATTACTTTTTAATTTACAAGGAAATATCTTGAGTTACTTTTTCGAATAAGTAACGCCAGTTACTTTGTTTTCCCATTTATTGACTGACAGCTCTCCTGTCCTCATCACACTTGCACAAAAACAGATTCAGTTTTGGCTTTGCTGCTGACCTTCAATGATTCAATTCAACCAGCAAAAAAGACTTTAGATAAACATAACATTTTTGTTTCCTTTTTTTATTGCTGAAAAGAGAAAAATGAGCCCAGCGCAGATTAGGAAAAGTAACGCAAAAGTAACGTAACACATTACTTTCCATTAAAAGTAACCAAGTAATGCAATTAATTACTTTTTTAGGGAGTAACGCAATATTGTAATACATTACTTTTAAAAGTAACTTTCCCCAACACTTCTGATTATACACGTCCAAATGTATTTACATCCTTCAATGTCGATATTTTCATCAAAATTGCTGCATTTTGGATGGAATCACGCATAAGATGTAGCACATGATAAACTTTTTTTTTTTTTTTTTTAAGCTTACGGAAAAAGTACATCAAATATACTAATTTCTATCATACACTCTATTTTCCTGTTAATATAGAATTCCAAATTCTTCCAAAATAATCTCGAGTAAATACAATGAAAAAAAAGATGCAAAATAGTTTCTTTTTCTTGACCACAAAATTCACAGGTATACGAAATATTAAGCTTAAATCTTTCCAAAACATGCTTTGTAGCACATGATAAACGCATTCTGTGAACGGGCGGAATTTACGTCACAGCGTTTTGTGTGGAGACGGAAGTCACGTGACGCGACTGGGAGTTCTGTCATGTGATGGTTCCTGTGTTTGCAGCGAAGCACTTTACAGTCAACAGACAAAAAAAAAACGCTTCTAAGACGAAAAACGCACACAGAGAAGAGACTGAACCTGCTGGACGGCTGTCATGGGGTGCTGTTTCAGCAGCGATAGCGAAACGTCGGAGCAGGTAGAGGAGATTCAATCAATATGCAGCCAAACAGCTATAAAATACAGCTGAATGTGGCGTTTGTATCCCTGCAACAGGAATTACAGACAACACGCACTTAATGTTGGTGTGTGTTTGAAATTCTTCAAGAACAGGCCAGTATTGAGTGTGTTTCAAAACTACAACAAACTTACTCTAATGCCTAATTTCATTCAATTATTTGTCTATTCAGAATTACTGGCTTTACTGCTGGTGATATGATGATTAGACATGGGAAATGTCATAAATTGAGAGTAACTATGTGTAGGGAGGAACTAGGCTTATGTCTGACATGAGCTCATGCAGGAGGAAATTATACATATACAGGGTAAACTTTAATATAACAGTGGATTTTCAAATCCAGGCCTGGAGTTTTCCATTTCTGTATAACTGTGCAAAGGTCTGAGACCACACTGAGAATCTGTGGTTTATAAATTATTTATTATTTCGGTCCATTTACAACAACAATGGGAAAAAAATGCAAAGAAATGTAAAATGTCTAAATATTTTCACATTGTTATGCTTACTGTATTATATTTTATTATTTTATTTATTTATATATATATATATATATATATTTATATTTTTTATATTAAGCTTTTTTTATTATTATTAATGATCTCAGACCACACTGGATTTTTTTTTCTGCTTGTGCTCTAAAATATTTCATAGACTTTTTAATTATTTCATTTATTTAAGCAAATCTCTTTGAAACAATTAAAATCCTTATACAGTAACGGAAAAGTATTTTTTGTATAAATCACTTTTGGGCAGGTTCATGTTTGGTTATATGATGTAATTTAATAAGTAGTTGGCGTTTGTGCTTATGATGTAAGAAGTCATTTAGCAGATATTGTTAGCCAGAGCAACTTGTAGTACATTTATGACAGGTTCAGGAGCAGCTTGGCAACATGTTCCTTCAAAATGTAATAACTTGCAGACTCTGACACAACATTATTTTCACCTAGGGTGTGTGGCATACTGGTTAGACAAATAGCTATTTGGTCATTGTTTTAGGCTACTATTGCCTTCTCAAAAGAGTGAACCGATGGTTTTTCAGGAGGTGTGATGATCATGCTTTTGACCAAACTCTTTTTGGCTCTTTTGTGCAGAATGAAGAGGTAAAGCCATTGATTCCTGACCCAAACTTAAACAAAATACCCACCAATGGCTCGGATCGAAACGCGGACAGCCTGCCGTCCAACCGCACGGATGAACAGGCCCTGCTCACGACCATCCTGCAGCGGACAGCCCTGTACGACACACACGTTCCCTTTCACTGTGACCGTCGAGTCATTTATTACACGGTTTGGGCTGTTGGTAGATTTAAAACTCACTTTTCTTTTCCTGTTGGTTAGGAACATAATTGACGTGTCGGCTGTTGATTCCCAAGGCATGGAACAACATGAATACATGGACAGAGCCAGACAGTACAGGTGTGTTACACTACTGAAATGCCGTTTGGCTGGGTGTATGTTATTGTGACGTCATAACCATGCATCACTAGATGTGTGATATGTCCATTTTTTAAGCTGATGAAGATTTGCACATAGGTTATGTATTAAGCTGAATCATATGTGTTTGTGTTAAAGCACGAAGCTGGAGGTGTTGAGCAGAACGCTGTCTCAGAAGAAGCCGGTTCCTCTCCCGTCACTGACCAGCCAACCTCACCAGGTGCTCGCCGCTGACCTGGTCTCCTACTCAGATGTACAGCAGGTCAGACTCGGTTAATAAATGACCGTCTCACTGTACATTAGACTGCCTTTTACATGCCAAAGCCTGGTGTGAAAATTATTAGTGATTGATTACAGACAGTGAAAACTAGAGATCAATTCAGTCAATATGTAATATATATTCCAATATATAAATAAGCTAATGTAGTTTAATTGTAGCAGTTGACATGCATGCATATATGCTTTAAACAACTTTTTATATAATATGTATATATTAAAGATGCACGTATGAATCTATAAATATGCTACTGTTCTGAAGTTAGAGGTTTATTAGGATTTTTTACATTTCTGAATGAAGATGATGTTCACAAGGCATGCATTTATCACAGTATAAACAGTAATATTATGAAAACTATTATTAGAATTTAATGTAACTTTTCTATTTCAGTGTTCTATATCAATGTTCTAAGACGTTGTGCTGCTTAATATTTTTGTGGAAACCGTGAAACGTTTTCTCCGGAATTCTTTGATGATGAACAGAAAGTTCAAAAGGAACAGCATTTATGTGAAATAGAAATCTTTTGTAACATTATAAATGTCTTAACTGTCACTTTGGATCATTTTAATTAGGGATGCACCGATACCACTTTTTCCAGTACTCGCCCGATACCGATACTTTTATTTTTGGTACTTGCCGATACCGAGTACCGATACCGATATTTTTATTGCATTTGTACATTTTTTAAATATTGGGTACAGAATGTTGTTGGTGTTTCTTTGTCTGAATATGGCGCTTATCACATGCTGTGTGGTATCAGTGTTTGGTATCGGGGCATTTTAACGAGTACGAGTACAGGAGACCAGTATCGGGCCTCCCTAATTTTAATGCATCCTTGCTGAACAAAAGTATTCATTTGTTTTCAAAAACTTCTACTGTCCCCAAACTTTTGAGCAGTAGTTTACATAAGTTTAAAAAAATGTATGACATAAATTGTGCATTTTCCATTGGTCAGGCTGTTGGCGATGTGATGAATAGTCAATGTATTGGTCTATCACTAGAAATGATGCATGTTATTCAGCGCATATTATTCATTTATTGCATTTTTTCCCTCCTCAGGTGTCTAAGATCGCTGCGTATGCCTACAGCGCCATCTCACAAATCAAAGTAGATGCCAAGGAAGAGCTGGTGGTGCAGTTTGCTATACCATGATTCAAAAGATGGACCTCCTTCCCCCCAGTTCCTCTGTTTCTGTCTCTAATTCTAGCCCTTTTCACTCCTCCGTTCTCCTTCCAAACTTCTTGAGATGCAGACGCCCGTGTCGTTGTTCTCTGAATGCCCTGCAGATAAATATAATTCACCCCAACCAGAGCTCCTTGTGTAAATCCGTCAGCCGCTGCCACAGCACAGATCCGCGAGAGTAAAAACATCTGATCTTCTATCTTTGCTTTGACGAGTTGCATTTGATCAGTTACCGGTAGTTTTAATCAAACTCTTTTTCAACAAATACATCAGAAATGTATTTGAAAATCTTTAGTTTAGTTTAGTTTTATTTGTTCTTGTTGATTCTTCTTCTGTTGGCTTTTCAATGTCCTGATTGGAGATTGTTAAACCAAGTAGCACATCCAGACTTCTCGATTACTCTTATACTTGTATTAAAGTTAACTCTATATTTACTCAGTTTGGCTGGGTCATCTTAACACTTAGGTTATGGTTCAGTTCAGTAATGAAATTTGTTCTCCTGTAGAATTCGGGAATCACGGTGGTTTAGAGTTCATTATTTCTGATTCAATTTCATAATTGTATGCACTGAGGTTCCAGATTGGGATGCAGATTAATATGGGCAACATAAATAATATTTCTGTCTGACCAGAGTAACACACACATAATGTTGCATTAACCATCGTTTGTTTGTTTTTTAACTAATTTGGATGTAGAACTGTTTTGCGTGACTAATCTGCTTGAAATTCTATCAAATTCATTTTCAACTGGTTTAGATTTGAGTCTATCACTGTTAACTACCCAAGAAGGTCCTGCAAACTGCATTAATTCCTGTTTTTGTTTTCCTCTATTTGCTAATAGACCTTAATCAGGTTAGACGCCATATTGAATTTTACACGGATGAAAACGAGGTTGTGATGCATAGACTTACCTTAGAGTCTTTACAGTAGCACACACTGTATAAAGATAATGTATTTTCACAACTTTTAAACTATTTATGGAGTTTTTGTCTACTGAAAATTTTCTTCGGAAATAAGTTTCGTCAGCGCACTGTTAAACAACAGTACGATCAATTGAACGCACTGCACTTCAGTCCCTCACAGCCTCGTTTTCATTCCTGTCAATATATATATATATGCATTTTTTATGGCGGAGTGTAAATATCACGGTACGTTTGACCAAAGTACCTTTAAGGCATTCTATAGTCTTTGGTTTGACGTACCATGCCACGTCATATCACTAATTTCATTTGAGATTTTGAATCCTCTGAAGTGGCTCTGCTATTGCTTTTAACGGAAGAGAAAGTGTTTCTCTTACCGTGCACCTTTCCTATAACCTTCAAACGGTCATGCGAACACCGGTTAAACCGATCCAGAACAGCGTGGCCTGTCTAACGAATTATCATACCGTCAAATCCTGGTGTTTTGGACGGGGAAGTGAGTTGTTGCGGCGGGAATTCGTAGATTGTAAATGATGTTTTGTGTCAATACCTTTAATGTACAGAGTGTAAAATGATTTGAGATGAATGATTAATACTTGTGTAGCGGGAAGTGTAAACGGCTCTACGATCTGTAGCTTGTTTTTAGCTAAGCAAACGGGGACGCTTTTACCTTAACTGTTTCACTTTTAACATAATAAAAATATATTATTACATTGCTTTAACTTAGTCTATCTAATTTTTTTTATTTAATTTTTTTTTGCTGTTGTGCCGGAAAACAAGGAACAAACTAGTGAATTCAAACAACTAGCGTTCTTTCCTGAATCCTGACAGAGTTTGAAATGCCACACAGTATGTTTGTGTAATTATTTATTTTGATTTTATATATTTATGCAAGCTCACAGACAGTGTGGCACAATTCGCTCTCTAGATCATGGCAAGGCACTTTTGTCTTTCTTTGAGATTTTTAAAGGGATAAAATGCACTGCAATACTTTTTCTGTTGCCGTTTTTTCTATTAGTGCTCAAGTTTGTTTGTTTGTTACCTAAATGTGGAATACTACCTGATTTACAGAGATAACTCTTCTTAGGCTAGTACCAAAAATTTAGTCTCAATATTCTGTTGAAACTGTTTTTGTTGAATGAAATTATGCATTAAAGACTTTCAAAATTATAAAGCATAATTTTTTTTTGTCTTGTGTGTAGCAGATATACATTGGTGGTGAGTGCAAGGAGAAAACTTTGTTCATCCATTCTTGAATTGCTAATTGCAATTCTCAAAGAAACGTTGTGCCATGGCTTTAAAGATGTTCTAGTTAAATGGACGTTTTTCTGTTGCTTAAGATGTTTCACCACTTATTCATGTGGCTTCATCAACAACTAATGAAGAAACACTCTGGCTGACTAAAGCAACTCCAGCTCTACTACTATTTTACAGTTTTGAAGGAGGCTAGATTTAAAGTCAGCCTCTCTGTTGCAGATCAAACCGTAGCTGTAACTCCACATTCATGTTTATTAGAGTATCAGGATGTCGGGTGGAGAAGGTTCAGTCCACTTTGCTGTGACTCATGGATTTGTGTGGGTTTCTGCTCCTCTGCCAAACTGAAGTCAACTCCCGTTCCTGTTTAGTGACAGCGCTGAAATCAATCATCTTCACATGAGGAAGGGTGCCGATCAAATGCGCCCTACAAGAGAGGCAGAAAAGCAATTTAGTGAAAGAATTTGTCTTTTTGTGACCTGAACTGTGATTCCATAAACAATTCTGAGCAATTCAACATTTCATGACAGAAATTATTGAAAATATTCAATTTGTTAATGAAATATACTCATAAAACATTTATTAATCTTAGTTAATGTTAATTTCAACATTTACTAATACATTATTAAAGTTATATCTTAAAATTTAAAGGGGTCATATGATGCGATTTCAAGTTTTCCTTTCTCTTTAGA